ATATATCTGTAGTGAAGGGAAGGAGGGGTAGGGGTTGTCCTAGGAAAGAATGAAGGAAGGGGATAAAAGAGGTTTCATGTGCAAGGGGCTTGGACATACAGCAGGCATGTGTGAACATGTTTGATAGGAATGAATGGAGCTGAATGGTTTTTGGGACTTAATGAGCTGTTGGAGGATGAGCAGGGTAATATTTTGTGAAGGAATTCAGGGAAACCAGTTAGCTGGACTTGAGTCCTGGAGGTGGGAAGTACAATTCCTGTACTTTGAAGGAGGGGTTTGGGATATTTGCTGTTTAGAGTGACATCTAAACTGTTGTATCTGCGCGCCTCTGCAAAGACAGTAATAGTGTAAATGATGGTGAAAGTTTTTTTTTATTTTGATCACCCTTTCTTGGTGGGAGACAGCCAGCATGCTAACAAAAACTATGCAAATGTAGGCTAGCAAATCAGTATGGGGAATACACGTTTCTACAGTAAAAGCAACTGTAGTTTCGTTTCAGTGATGGTGGTATGCTACCTTTGTTTAGTCATATTTGGTTCCAATGTTTAAAATTTATTTTGGATTAAAGGTTTTTACCAGCAAATGTCGAGTGCAAGTTGTGCACATAGAACACCACATCTATCAAAAGTTAACATCTCAGCTGATTGCAGCAGGTCTTTCAACTTGCCCAAGTGTCTCAGTGAGTTGTTAAGATACAAAATAATATTATTATTATTATAATCAAAAAGAAGCGCTAAACCACAATGGCTATACAGGGCTGCAGGGCAGGAAGGAAGCGAGGGTATCAGGTGGCAAAAGGGAGATGGGCGAGTAATAGGTTACGGAGAACAGCGGGGCAGTGGATAGTGAAAGGGTAGAGGGCAGCAAGAGATTGAGGTACAAAGGGCTGAGGGGAGTGCGAAAAGTATCATCAGAGTTTGTGGAGTAAATCAGTCATTGTCAAGAAGTCAATGAGAGAGTCAGGATTAACCCTTTCAGGGTCCAAGGCCAAAATCTGAAGTGGTGCTCCAGTGTCCAAGAAATTTTTTTTGAAAAAAAAAAAAAAAAAAAAAAAAAAAAAAAAAAAAAAAAAAAAAAAAAAAAAAAAAAAAAAAAAAACATCTTACAGAATTAAAGATAATATTTCTATGAAGGTAATAAAAAAAAAAATTCTGATCAGTACTTACCAAGATACAGTGGCGGGAAGTTGACCCAAAATGACCCAGTGGCGGCAACATCAATGACTTCCGCAAAATAGCATTTTTTTATTTTACGTTTTTTATACTTTTTTCTTTTCTTTTCTAATTTTTTTCTTTTTTTTCTAGTAACATTTGTGGCCTGTGAGACCAATATAATGTATATTGTATAAGTGTACACTCATTTTATTAAACACAATAACTGCACTAATTTATCATTATATTGCTTACAAAACTTGTTTACAAGTTTATTGTAAAATGATGAAAATATTAGTGTGGTTGTGTTGAATACAACGGTACCATATAGTACCATATGGTACAATGGTGTCATAGGGTGTAATGGTACCATATAGTACAATGGCATCATATGATACAATGGTACCATATGATATAATGGTACCATATGGTGCAATGGTACCATACAGTACATTGTACCATACAGTACAATGATACCATATGGTACATTGTACCATATGGTACTGTTGTATTCAACACAATAAACACACTAATATTTTCATCTTTATTTTGTTTACAATAATTGTTTACAACAAAAATATGCAAAAATGTTGTATATTAGTAACGTTCTATTATATATTTAGAAATGTACAGGAACTTGACACGTTACTTGAGGTGGATGACAGAGCTTTGTCTTGGAAACTGCTGAGTCAGTAGCTAGCTTGTGTTGCCACTCACTCAGTCTTGGCTGGTGTCTCATGCCACCAACACGTCCTATTGACCATATGGTACATGGTATCATATGTTACAAGGTACCATATGGTACATTGTACTATATGGTATAGGGTACCATACAGTACAGGATAACATATGGTACAGGATAACATATGGTACAGGGTACCATATAGTGCAGGGTACCATATGGTGCAGGGTACCATATGGCGCAGGGTACCATATGGCGCAGGGTACCATATGGCGCAGGGTACCATATGGTGCAGGGTACCATATGGAGCAGGGTACCATATGGAGCAGGGTACCATATGGTGCAGGACACCATATGGTACAGAAACAGGGATCCCTATGGAAATAAGTCACCCTGACTTTCTTTGGTTATCCTAGGATTTTATACATGCTGCTATGTATGACAATCTATGTAACTGTATTTGTGTACACCTGAATAAACTTACTCAAGTGCATGTGGCATCATAAGTAAGTTTATTTAGGTATACACAAATAAAGTTACTTAGAATATCATACTTAGCAGCATATGTTTGGAGAACCTAGGATAACCCAAAAAAGTCAAACTTATTTCCACTAGGGTCCCTGTACCCTGTACTATATAGTACAATGTACTATATGGTATAATGTACCATATGGTACAATGTACCATATGGCACATTGTACCATATGGCACATTGTACCATATGGCACATTGTGCCATATGGCACATTGTACCATATGATACCATTGTATGACATGGCACCATTGTACCATATGGTACCATTGTATCATATGGTACAATGGTACCATATGGTTCAAAACCATAGAATTCCTCTTCAGCTCCACTTCCCTCAGTCTTATAACTATAAGTTGTGAAGAGGAGAGCCAGAATTCGTCTGGAGAGTGAGTGGGGATTGAGAACTTCCTTGCCACCAGGCATGATGAACAAAGCTACTTTGGCGGTGTTCCCACAATGCCATGCGGGCGTCCAGATTTTTTCTATAGTGTGCACACTGACCACCCAGACCCATTCTCTCAGATGTAGGCCTACCAGCCTTCTCGTGCTAAATATGACGCCGCTAGAATTTTGGCATAGATCTACGGTTTGGACCCTGAACGTAAAGCCGTACATCTACGGGACGGACCCTGAAAGGGTTTTAAAGGAGGGTCCATCAGCAAGAAGGGAAGGTAAAGAGAGAGTAGTAGAGCAGAGAGAACATTGCAGGTAAATTCTACATGCTCGTTGATAGAGGGTAGTCTAATATAATGTGGCTAATCGATACTGGAACTTGACACTGCTCACAGAGAGGAACAGGGTGCCTCTCCATGAGATACCCATGAGTAAGACGAGTGTGGCCAATGCGAAGGCAGGAGAGAGTAGTCTCCCAACCTCGGCACTGATGACAAGACAGCCAGTAACCTATGCTCGGTTTAATAGAATGAAGTTTGTTACCGAGCAGAGTTGACCAACATTGTTGCCAATGGGTGTGAAGGTGGGTAGCTATTACAGCAAAATAGTCCGGAAATGGAACACCTCTATATGAAATTGGTAGGTCATGTACTGCTGACCGCGCAGCAGTGTCTGCCTGTTCATTGCCCTGTACGCCAACATGACCAGGGACACAACAAAAAACAATATCTTTATGCTTGGTAGAGATACGGCATAGCCAAAGTTGGATACGGAGAACTATGGGGTGAGGTACATCAAATTTCCGTATAGCCTGTAGAGCACTAAGGGAGTCTGAGACAACCACAAATGATGACACAGGCATAGATGCGATACAAATAAGAGCTGCAAGAATGGCATAGAATTCAGCAGTAAAAATGCTAGCCGAAGATAGTAGATGCCCTTACATGACACTGTCCAGAAGCACTGCTGCGAATCCGACGCCGTCGGAAGACTTAGAGCCATCTGTGTACACTGCGATGGCATGAGAATGAAAGTGGAAGTGGTCAAGAAAAAGAAAGTGGGAAGCCACCGTAGGCAGTTGGGCTTTCGAGCAAGGGAGTGAGAAAGAACAGACCCGAACAGCTGGAACTTCCCAGGGGGGTAGGGAAAAGTGAGATGCTACATAAACATATAAAGGTGGTAACTGAAGGGAAGCCAAGAGCAAATGTAGGCGAAGAGAGAAGGGACGGAGCAAACGGGCAGCGAACAAATAAAGAATGTCTACTAATATCGGTGACCATTCTATAAATGGAAGGATTGCAGAGATCGCGAGAGCATACATAGTAACGAAGGCAATGGGCATCAGGCGATCAGACAAGGATGGAACATTTGCTTCTGCATAGAGGCTTTCAACAGGGGAAGAGTGAAAAGCACCAAGGCATAAACGTAATCCTTGGTGATGGATGGGGTTAAGGCTAGAGTAGCAGGAGAGGCCACTGAATAGATCTGGTCACCATAATCGAGTTTCGATAAAATGAGGGCCAAATGAAGGTGAAGGAGAGTTCGACGATCAGCTCCCCATGAAAGATGAGCAAGGGTTTTAAGAAGGTTCAGCCGGCTGTGACAAGTTGCCTTCAGAGAGGTAATGTGAGGTTTCCAGGAAAGCCTACGGTCAAAGAGAAGGCCTAGAAACCTGACTGTATCACGTTCAGGGATACGGGAGCCACAGAGGTACAAAGGATGATCGGATATGACAGAGCGTCTAGTGAAAGTAATTTGGCGAGTTTTGGTACTGGAAAATTTAAACCGATGTGTGGTGGCCCAATTGGAAACACGGTTAACCACATGCTGGAGAGAAGCTGTAATGAGGCGACAGTCAGCGCCTGCACAAGCAATACTGAAGTCATCAACATAGAGTGATGACCAAATATTGGATGGAAGAACAGAGGCCAAATTATTTATAGCAAGGAGAAAAAGTGTTGTGCTCAGAACACATCCCTGAGGGACACCTTCAGCTTGGACAAAGTCCAGGGAGAGCACATTATTGACTCGAACATGGAAATGTCTGTCGGTTAAAAGCTGTAGGAGGTGATATTCAGGTATGAATACCTGACCTGATCTCTGATGATATCTTTCATTAACATGTGTATACCTGTAAGTCAGAAAAAGGATAAATACTTAAGACTGGATTTGAGAAGTTTATGAAATAAACTGAATTTAATTGGTTGTATAACAAGCATTTGCAACAAGAAATGTCTCACCTTTTCTTTAAGGACTTCAGCAGTTGGTTTAGATATAATTATCTCGACAAGGGGATCAGTGGTGTACATTGATGGTCTCCATCTCTTTACAAAAATGGCTAACTCTTCAGCATTGCTTCTTCTGGGTTCAGGCCCCTCTATAACCTATTAGCAATAATCATGACAAATTAACACAACAACAGAAACCTCATTTATAATATTCATTACACATTAAATACTGTTAATATACTGCAGTCAATCAGAAAACATGGTAATAATGATTGATAAAAAAAAAAAAGCTATAAAAAAGCTTATCCCACAGTCTTCTTGTAACTATGTATTTATTTTACATCTGTATGTTTGTTTTAAGTGACTATAAAAAATTGTAACCCATCATAGAAGATTCCATACATCACTATTTAGGTGTTAAATATCTTAAATACAGTACAGTATTATTATTACTATTATTAACAGACCTAGCAAATATAATTCTAATTCTATTTGTATTGAGTAGTAATGTATTACTTACATGCTTCATATTATCCTGTTATTAAATATAACTGGTATGAATCCACTTTTTTTTTTTTTTTTAGCTAGACCAACTTACAGCATAAGTATTCATGAGTTCTATGAATATAACACATTTCAGGAACACAATATTATTACATTTGTGGGCAAGCACTAAACCTGTAGGCATGAACATATGGAATGAGGAATGAACATAATATGGTCAATCCTTAAAAAGGGAAGAAAAGCAAAGATTCCCTAAATCAAAAGCCCTTCACCAGCATCAAGGCATACCCTTGGCAGGATCCACACACACAACCCTCACATACAGTATATGGAGATTATAAGGTAAAGTTGAATGACAGTTAACACGAGGGTTATGTTTCTGACAATCGCTGTGTAATCCAATTTAGCGCCAAGCTCAAGAACATATGGAAAAAAAATAGGGCCAAGTTCTACAGACTTCCAAAGATGTCAAGCAATTTTTTTTTTTATAATGTACAGTGGACCCTTAGTTATCAGCCGTAATCCATTCCAGGAGATCGGCTGGAAACTGAAATAATATTTCCCATAAGAATTAATGTAAATACAATTAATCCGTTCCATAAAAAAATATTCACACAAAAATAATTTCTTTAACAATTATGTAAATATTACATACCTTTATTGAAGGCTAATGCTGGTTTCTGGAAGATAGGGAGGAGGAAAGAGGGAGGAGTTAAGTGTCTGGAAAGAGAATCCCTCTCCATAAAGACTTTAGGTAGCAAAGCCTTCTCTGGGGTTACTTTCCTTCTTTGTCTTATAATGATGATAAATTAGACACATGTGCAACTCTTGGGTATCTTTATTGAGGAAACGTTTCGCCACACGGTGGCTTCATCAGTCCATACGTAGGAGAAACTAGAAGAACAGAAGGAGAATGAGGTAATCAGTCCCTCAACCTTGAGTCGATGTGTTCAGTCCATCAATCTTGAATAGAATACGGCATATCAATGGAGAAGCAGCTTATAAACCGTATGGCAGGAGAGGTGCAGCAGTCATAGGTCGTGTCACATTTGTTCAATGTGGAAGTAGGTCGTGCCCAAGAATTAGGCAAGTGAAGAATTCCTAAGTATTAAGATCCCAAGAAGTTGCAGTGTCTGACAGATTTGTAGATGAATGGTTCATCTACAAATTTGTCTTATAATGCCACTAGGACCAGCTTGAGAGTCACTGGACCCCTGTCTCACAAAGTAACTGTCCAGAGTGCTGTTTCTGGCATCTCTAAGATTTCCCTGAAGTGGGACAGGGTTTTGTACTAAACATGTTGCAGATATGGCTTGTTTCAGCTTTGTCAGGATGGTACTTCTCGACAAAACTTTGCACATCATTCCACTTTGCACAAATGTTCTTAATCAATGAAGAAGGCACATCCTTCACTCCCTCTTCCTCCTCCTCCTCCTCTGAAGCAAGTTCCTCAGCTGCAGTCTGTTGCTGTTCAAGTTGAAGCTCTTGCAGCTCTTTAGTGGTTAGCTCTTCCCTGTGGTCCTCCACCAGCTCTTCCACATCCTTACCACTCATCTCCAACCCCAGGGACTTCCCCAGTGCCACAACAGAGTCCACAGGGTCGGCAGGGTCAGGGTCAGCCTCAAACTCTTCAAAATCCCTCTCTTGGACACAATCTGGCCATAGTTTTCTCCAAGCAAAGTTCAAAGTCCTGGAAGTCACTCCCTCCCAAGCCTTACCTATAAGGCTTATGCAGTTGTAGATACTGAAGTGATTCCTTCAGATCTCTCTTAGGGTCAACCGAGTGTCTGAGGTTACTTTGAAGCACTTTTGAAACACTTCTTTTGTGTAGAGTTTTTTGAGGTTAGAAATGACCTGCTGGTCCATGGGCTGGAGGAGAGGAGTGGTGTTAGGAGGCAAGAACTTCACTTTTATAAAATTGAAGTCCCTAAACACTTGGTCTTCCAAGTCTGGAGGATGTGCAGGAGCACTGTCCAGTACCAGGAGGCACTTGAGTGGCAATTTCTTTTCCAGGAGGTATTTTTTCACACTTGGGCCTAATGCATCATTAACCCACTCTTTGAAAATTTGCCTTGTGACCCATGCCTTATGATTAGCTTTCCACATCACACACAATCTATTCTTCATGACATTGTTTTTCTTGAACACTCTCGGATTTTCTGAGTGATACACGAGTAAAGGCTTCACTTTGAAATCCCCACTAGCATTACCACACAACAAAAGAGTGAGCCTGTCTTTCATAGGCTTGTGTCCTGGCAGTGCCTTTTCCTCCTGGGTAATGTAGGTTCTGTTTGGTATTTTCTTCCAAAACAGGCCTGTTTTGTCACAATTGAACACTTGTTTGGGTTTGAATCCTTCAGCCTCTATGTACCCCTGGAATTCCTGCACGAATTTTTCAGCCGCACATTTGTCAGAGCTTGCAGCCTTACCATGCCTTACAACACTGTATGCTACTACGCTTCTTAAATCTATCAAAACGTCCTTTGCTGGCCCTAAATTCACAAACTGCAGCACTTGTTCCAGGTATTTTCTTTGCAAGATCCTCATGCAAGTGCCTTGCCTTCTCACAAATAATCGACTCCACAACACTGTCTCCCACTAGTTCTTTTTCCTTAATCCACAATAATAATAACTTGTCCATCTCTTCCTTTATTGGTGGCCTTTGTTTAGTTAGAAAAGTTACTCCTTTTGCAACATTAGCATCCTTGCTTTGTTCTCTCTTTGCCAGGATGGATGTTATTGTTGATTTATTCTTGCTGTACATCCTGGCAAGTTCCATCACCCTCATACCAATCTCAAACTTTTCTATCACTTCACGCTTAAACTCCATGGTGTTTCTCACTTTCTTTACCACAGGAACTTTCTTCGAGCCATGGTTACTTATTTTATAGTTGCACTGCAAAAATAACACAAACTACAATGGGAAATAAGCAAAATGTCTGGATGTATGAGCAGAAGCTTCCTCAGCCACCGAGAGACACAGCCAAACTGACGCGCAAGTGGCACCAGCCGAACGGCCGATCACCAAATTAACGGCCAATAACTGGGTGCTGAAAAACCAGTCGATCACCGAGTTGGCCGATAATAGAACCGGCCGATAACCGGGAGTCCAGTGTACATCAAAAAATAACAGTTTATCTTACATTATTACTCATTACTTGAAGCACTTAAAGTGAGGAGGGTTAACATAGATTTAATGGGTCATTTGGATGTAGTGAGGTTTATCATTTGGCATACATGTAGCAGGCAGCACCAACTGGCTTCTTAACAATGAGAATTTTTACAGCCACTGATGATTTATGCGGTATTGAGCCTTATCTGGGAGCTAAAAAGCAAGCTGCAGACTCTGGCTTTGGCACCCAGCAATATTGCAAGATTGCAGACTTCTATTGTAATCTAATTCTTCAATAAATATTTGAATTGCTTGGAAAACTTTTTTTTTTTTTTTTTTGATGATCTATACACGAGGGGCCAATAATGTCCTGTTTAGTGGAAAAGAATAGTAACACATGCTTTGGCTAAACTGGAGCCAAGAATCAGCAGGAAATAAGACACTTTCACCTTGCAGTCTCTAATATTAATGCTACACTGATAATATAGCAAACAGCTGCTGGTAGCTGTTCCCTGTATTATTGTTTGAAAATAAATCTTCCCTCATTTTATTCCTAGGAAGGTACGAGTTAATCTCTACAAAATGTGACATCTTTTAGTAGTGAGGGTGTCATGTCAAGAAGTTTAGTAAACATGTTTACTATCACTTACTACAATTATCTTGGTTGAATACTTATTCACTATTACCTGCAAACATTTCCAACAATTGTAGAAATACAGGGCTAGAGTAGGTACATCAATTTTAAATGCACTAGAATGTATAATTACATACTATGTATTATGATGATGTATGATACTGGGTTACTGTACTAATAGTACCTTCAGGGATAATACTCCTATCAAGTCTTTTTCTACTGAATTTTTGTTTACTTTTTATAATAAACACTAAACAAGAACAATGCTGCCTAGAGAACTTAAGCTTTGCTTAGCAAGAGCAGGAGGCAAGGGGAGGGACAGGTACTGTTTGTGGCGTGGTATCTGTGGAAGGCACCACTTGTTGCTCGAGGAGCAACTGAAGTAAATCTACAGAAGGAACTCAGATTTTGCACATTACTTGTTTTAAAATTTATGATGAGGAACACTGTCCCTTTTCCCTGCTATTTTTTGGTACAATTTCTTTATTGAATTAAACACCATCTTGCATAGTCTAAATGCACTCTAATTATCTACTTTACTCCAATTTACCAAGTGAAATGCAAATCCCATTTAAGGCAGAGCATCAGCAGCCTCTCTTCACACAGCCTCTGGACATGTCTGTCTCCCTGTACAATCCACTAAGAGAAAGGGAAAATAAACTATACATTTAGCAGCTTCTTACATTAATATACAGGTTATCAGCATATTTGTGCATTTAAATATGGCAGCCTGTCTCTTAATACACTGAGGATACTTCAACATGCTGTTGTGACCTTACCAACACATGTTCTTTAACCCTTTGACAGTTTTGGGTGTATATATACGTCTTACATGCCACTGTTTCAGACGTATTTACACACGTAAATTCTAGCGGCTTCAAATCAAGCAAGAGAAAGCTGGTAGGC